GCAGCCCAAACCCCCCCCCAAAATCACCCCCCAAAGGCCCCCGGGGAACCCCAAAATCCTCCCCAAAACCTCCCAGGTGTCCAAACCCCCACCCCCCAAAACGGTCCAGGGGTCCGGGCACCCCAAAATCCTCCCCAACACCCCCCCATCCCCGTGTTTGGGTGGGAATTTGGGGCTGAACCCCAACTCTGTCACTAAGGGGACGCCCCTGGGGGGGAAGGAGGTCGCCCCAAATCCTGCGGTCCCCCCAAAATCGGGGCCCCTGAAACTCCTGGATCCCCAAAATTCCTAAATTCTTTGGTCCTCCCGTGCACCTCCAAAACATCCGGGACCCCCCAAATTCCTGGGACCCCCCCCAAACCCTGAGGCCTCCTCCCCAAAATCCCTGGGATCCCCTCAAACACCTGGAACCCCCAAATTCCTGACACAGCCCCCCCAGACCTCTGGGACCCCACCAGCACCTCAAACCCAACCAACCCCTGACCTGGGACCCCCCCAGCACCTGAATCCCAACGAACACCTGAGTCCCCCCAAATTCCTGAGCCCTCCAAATTCCTGAGTCCCCCAAAAATTCCTGCTACCCCCAAATTCCTGGGTCCCCCTGGACACCTGGGCCCCCCCAGATCCCTGAATCCCCCCAAATCCCATTTCCCCATGGATCCTGGCCCCCCAGATCCCCGCGCCCCCCCAGATCCCATTTCCCGATGGATCCCAGCCCCCCCAGGTCCCCCCCATACTGGGCACGTAGATCTCGGCCCGCTGCTCGTCCGGGAGCTCGCTCCAGTTGCGCTTGGCCGTGGCCACCACCGGCTTCTTCACCAGGAACGCGCGCGGCATGGCCGGATCCGCCGGATCCCCGACCCCGGATGATGGATCCCGATGGATCCTGATTGATCCCGATGGATTCTGATTGACCCTGATGGATCCCGATAGATCCCGCTGGATCCTGATGGATTCTGATAGAATCTGATGGGTTCTGATGGATCCCAAGTGATCCCGATGGATCCCAGTGGATTCCTGATGTATTCTGATGGATCCCAATGGATCCCGATAGATCCCAGCTGATCCCGATGGATTCTGATGGATCCCCTGCTCCCAATAGATCCCAATGGATCCCGGCGGATTCTGATTGATCCCGCTGGATCCCGGCCTGATGGATCCCAATGGATGCGCTGTGGATCCTCAGTCAGGCTCAACGCCGGATCCGCGGTTGAGTTTGATCCCAGATCCCAAATATTCGGTCAATATCCGCAGCCGATCCCAAATCCTTGGGCAGTTCTGGTCCCCGATCCCGCCGGACCCCGGTGCTCCGGAGGATCCCGGATTCGGGCTCGGATCCCGGGGCTTGGAGCGGTTCCGGTGCCCGATCCCGGTCCGGCGTCACCGCGATCCGCTGTCACCGCTGTCACCGCTGTCACCGCCCGCTGTCACCGGCCCCGAGCCCCGCGCCGCCCCCTCGGCTGCGCTGTCCCGGGGCTGTCCCGGTTGTGCCGTCCCGGTGCCGGTCCCGGCTCTGTTATCCCGGTTCTGGCTCGGTTATCCCGGTCCCGGCTCTGTTATCCCGGCTCTGGCTCGGTTATCCCGGTCCCGGCTCTGTTATCCCGGTCCCGGCTCTGTTATCCCAGTCCCGGCTCTGTTATCCCGGTTCTGACTCTGTTATCCCAATTGTCCCGGTCCTGTCCCGGCTCTGTTATCCTGGTTGTGCTGTCCCGGTGTTGTCCCGGTCTTATCCCGGTCCCAGTGGTGCCCTGCCGGTCCTGTCCCGGTCCTGGTCCTGGCAGTGCTATCCCGGTCCTGTCCCGGTCCCAGCGGTGCTGTCCTGGTCCCGGCACTGCTGTCCCGGTGCTGTCCCGCTGCCGTGCCGTGCCGTGCCGTGCCGGTGCCGGCGGTGCCGCCCCGCCGCGCGTCCCCCGTCCCGCCCCGCGGTGCCCCGGACCGGTTCCGCCGGTCGGGCCGGGCCGCGCCGCAGCCGGAGCCGGTCGGGCGGGCGCCGCTTGGGAAATAACGGGGAGCCCCCGCCCCGGCCCGGGGACAGCGGGGACACCGGGACAGCGGGGGGGCGGGGGACACCGGGGACAGCGGGGGACACTATGGGACACCGGGACAGCCACAGGGCGCAGGGGACACTGGGACACCGGGGGACAGGGAAGGGCATTTGGGGACACGGGGACACGGGGGGACGTGGGGACACTGGGACACGGACACCGGAGACATCGGGGACATTGGGACGTCAGGGGACGCAGGGACATCAGGGATGGGGACATGAGGACTTTGGGGACAGGCTGCGGGGGCGGGGGACACCGGGGACGTGGGGGACATTGGGGACATCGGGACATCGGGGATGGGGACACGGGGACTTTGGGGACATTGGGGACATTGGGCTGAGGGACGTGGGGACACAGGGATGGGGACAGGGACACGGAGAGCTTGGGGTGAGCTGGACAGAGGGACACGGGGACAGAGGGACAGAGGGACACGGGGACAGAGGGACAGAGGGACACGGGGACAGAGGGACAGAGGGACACGGGGACACGGGGATGGCGCTGTCCCCAGGACCGGGGTGTCAGAGGTCACCTGGAGAGACCAGGGGGGGTCACAGTGTCCCCGGGGGGGTCAGGCTGTCCCCGGGGGGTGTCACGGTGTCCCCGGGGTGTCACTGTGTCCCAGGGGGGTCCGACTGTCCCGGGGGGGGGTCACGCTGTCCCCAGGGGGGTCCGGCTGTCCCCGGGGGGGTCACCTGCAC